TAATAATTACATATAACATAATCTCATTTAAATTAATAGCTGAGAAAAAAATCTGAAACCTCTAATCTCCTGGAAACTAGCCCAGCTGCAGGTTTCTCAAAATTGTTAAGACCTAAAATGCAACAAGATTATATTTGCTCTTTTAAAAAATATTTATATATTAATTTAATAATGATGTTATACAAACTGTCCAAATTCAAAATAATAATTAGAGGTTATAATTATAAAAAGATTTTTTAACAAGAAAGTAAAATCTAAAAATAATCAAAGAAATGTTTTCATTAAAAAGTCTTCACTATCAAAGTACTGTATATGACAAATTATTAATTTTCATTTTTAAATAAATCTAAAGTTTATTATTTAATATATTACAAATTAATATATATATATATTTCTATTTTTATAAGCAAATATAAATAAAAACGTTTTCTTCTTCTGACAGAATATGTAAAAGAAAAGTAACATTTTCTTCTAAATAGTTCAATCAAAACAAATTAAAACAGATATTTTCAAATTCACCATAAAAAAAGCAATCGGCCTTTTATGCAACAAATAAAAATTATTTATATAAAATCTAAAATATATTTTTTATTTTCTTTTTGCACCCAATAAATTAGCATTAATTATATTGATTATTTGAATATTTAATATTCAATTTTTAATCATTGCAAATACATGATTAAAATGAAAAATTGTCCACATTCTTTCAGAAATAAAAATGTATAATAATACATTTTTAAAGATTAAAGAAATTAAAGAAATAAAGAAATAAATTTAAAAAAAATAAAGAAATTAAAGAAATAAAAACGTATAATAATACATTTTTATTTCTTTAATTTTTCTTATAATACAGAGGATATCATTTCAAAGGAAAAAATTTAAATTTTTCTTAAAATTTTTAATTTATTAAAATTAAACATAGAAGTATTTATTTTATATATTTTATTACTGTTAATTAAACACTAATTTTTTATATGTAATTATTGAAAAACTAATTACTATAGGTTTTTTAAAAATAATGCTTTCAGTCTAAAGTGGAATACTGCCAATTTTTAGAATCTTTTTAACAAACAATATAATTATTGTTTAAAATTTCAATAAGGCTATTTATATAATACTGATATCTTTTCATTTTTTAGTTTCTTCATCATTTTTATATTATTTTTGTGAATTATATCAAATTTTATTAAAATTACATGTTTTAAATGTACAGTAGAGCATCGATTAACCGTCACATCGGTTAACCGACTGTTCTAGTCGGCAAATTTCAAATGTCCGCTAGTGATTTGGCGCCACAATATTTTGCTATGTCTTGGCTACTTTAATATTATTTTTGTTAAATTTTTGTGTGTTTTAGCTGGCATCAATGGCTCAAAGGGAGACCAGTATTTAAATGTTAATTTTCTAATTATGAGTGGTTGTTTGTTTCGTGAGCAATAAAATAATTTAAAAATAATTTTTAACAATACAATAGCAACGATTATTATTTAAAAAGAGATTTGTTAGGCTAAACATCGACGAAAATTCAACGCAAAGTTGGTTAATAGCGATATACTAATAAACTAATTACATGGGATATACTAATATCCTAATATACTATACTAATAATGTATTTTTTTCCTTCTTTTCGGTTATCCAATTTTTT